TTTTTTTAGAAACAAATTTTGTTTTGGTGCAGTGTTTCAGCAATGTCTAGGATCCAGGACTTTTCTTTATTTCCTTTCTTCTTTCCTCAGCCTGTTCCTTTTTTATATCTGTAGGTTTTTGTGTAATGGTAGCAAGACAGCTGCTATAGCACCAATCATCACATTCTAACACTACTACATCCAAAGCAGGTTGGGCTAAAAAGGCGGCCAACTTTCAATCAGGTGTGAACTATATCCCAGCAGTCCCCTAGACATGCCCTTATACCTTATTAGCCAGATTTGGGTCACATGGTCACCTCAAACTGCAAGGGAAGCTGGGAAAACAAAGAGAAATAAATAGGATTACTATAATTGGCTTAAACTAACCATGATTAATCCCTTGGAGTTGTTCACATTGGTGCCATTGATAAGAAGGAAGTAAGGGAGGCGGGAAGAATGGAGGAGGTATAAAGTTGTCCATGAACTAGGAATGGAGAGAAAAGAGAAGAAAGAAAGTTCTTAGCCAATGAAAATTAATAATTTGCCACAATATAGAGGTGTCATTAAAAAATAAGATAAGTACATTAGAAGAAAAACTTCATTGAGGTATAACTGACATGAAGTAAGCTTCACTTATTTCAAGTATACAGTTTAAGGAGTTTTGACATATGTACACAGTCATTGTACCATCACCACAGTGAGATAATGAACATATCCAATACCCCCCAAAGTGTGTGGGACTGTTTCTGGTGTCTCTATTCCGTTTCATTGATCTAACCTTTATGCCAATAGCACAGTGTTTTGATTACTATAGCTTTATTATAATACAACACCTTGTACAGAGCAGCCATTGATACATGTGTGTGGGTTTAATCAAGCCTGGGAATGGTGCTTGCTGTATTGCTCACAAGTCCCCAAAACTAATATCTGAATTTAGCCATTTGACTGTTAAAAGGCTGAATTCTACATGTGCCTGCTTTGTGGGAACACTCAGATTTTGTGCCGGGATTGTACTAGAAAAGGCTCCCCAAATTACTTTTGTTTCTAGACGTTTCTGGGAAATACAGAAAGCTTTATTTAGGCTTAGAGGATATGGCGTCCTGTAAAGCTAATCATTCTTTCATGGAACATCTATTATAACTGACTATTTCGTGCATCTTTATGAATGCGTCTAATTTTAGCATAGAAGTCTCAGATACTATAGGATTAACCCTATTTAGCTCTAGTTTGGTGCTTTTATATTTGAGGACTTAGAAGAACTTTTAGAAGCATACATTGGTGTTGAGCTTTAAACTTTTGATTTTGGGGTGATTAAATGGCCCTCGAAATATGAAGGTAGAGAGTTATTTGATTTATGGGAAGTTGGCGCCTGCTGCTGATAACGATAAAGGAAGATATTTTTATGCTAAGTTCTAAAATAGAGCTGATGAAAAATGCTAATGAAATCAAGGAGTGTCTAGGCACTTCAGCATTTAAAAAAAAGGTCCTTACCTTTGGGAATCTGAAGTATGATTGAGACTATTTTTAAATACTCAACTGGATGTTTTGAAGATATTTTTGGATCCCAGACATTGGATGCTCTAGTTAATTTCATTGAGAACTAGTTAATTTCATTGATAACTCTCACTTATAGAGCATCATATTCTTAACTATTCTGTTTTTTTCTTTTCTTTTTAAAGATGTTTATTAAAACATAGCTAACCTACAATATTATTAGTTTCAGGCATACAT